CAGGGAAATGATCCAGTGGATCTCAAACTACGTGCAGTCGGTCTCAAAATTATGCGTTTGTTTACATGCAATGCTTTGCGAAGCAAATTAAATATTTTCGAAACTCGAGATAGACTCAGACTATTGAGTATTGAGTTGGAAATTTGCTCAAACGGATCAAACAGCTCAGAATATGAAGAAATATTACGTATTTATTTCGCGAGTTTATGAACGAAGTATTATTCAAAACACGCGCAAAGGGATGAAGTTTCCATTTACTTTCCAAACATGGAGATATCTATATATCACGAATACGTGTTGGCACTTTTATTTGGAATTTAGGTTCTGCAAGGTCATTCACGGGTGATATTCTATATTAGCGAAAATTTCAAACCCCCAAAATCAGACTCCAAAATGCGATGAATCTCGATCAAAATAGCTAACATTAGTTACAATATTTCTGCGGTCCCCTAAACTATATTTTTAAGATGTAAAGTGCAAAAACGAATTTCTAGCCGAGTTATATTAGGAAGTATGTTCACACAGTAACATGATATACATATGCATTTTGTTACTAAAGAGTTTTATGTGCCTACTGCAATCAAGAAATTCGATCAGTGAACGACGCACTGGTTTATCTGAAATCACGGAGCGAAAAATTGTTTCCACTGACTAGGCGATGTTTCCAATTGTTGCTTACAGTCAGGCCCATAACTAGGTATATGAGTCAATCGAGTTCAAGTTCAATGACAGACTGTATCGTTCTCTCTATGTAAAGAAGCATTATCCTTGCCCTACAGTGACGTAAGAAATGAGAGGCTGTATGGGTACACAAGTACCCCAATAACAAAAGTGCGGGCCAGCGCCCAAATATTACAACAATTGAGCACAAACACTTTTTTATTATGCACCTGATCAATGATGTTCGACCAAAAATGTGATTCTTAGCCTCAGGATTGGGGGAAAACTACAGTATAAAATTATAGTCATTGTGTCACTGTTTATGAAATTTCGTTTGAACTGCTCCCAGAATGCAGAAAATAACGTTTCTAAGCCTTAGAAAATCAAAAATTTTCTGGGAGAGCATGCCCCCAGACCCCCCAGAAGTGTCTCGGTCAATCAAAAATCCTATAGTTACGTGCTTGACAGTTCCTGTAACATCCGCATCCGCCGAGCGCAGCTTTTCAAAGCTGAAATCAGTGAAAACTGTTATGCGTTCGGTAATGAACCAGGAACGCCTCTGTGAACTCTTGACTCTTTGCGTGTGAGCGCGATCTAACAGACACGATCGATCTTGACGAAATCGCTAATCTGTGGTCAAACCTGACTAAGCGTGGACACTTAATAAAAATATAACGTTTCACAGCAAACTGTACGTGTTCTTGCAAAATTCCTAATAAATGCCATCAATTTCCATGCTTTGTACTCAATTTTATTGCAACATACCAACTCACCAAGAGTTGGTTTGGATTCACATTTCAGTGGTGAGTCGGTCTCATTTCGTGATTACACCCTCCCAGTCAAAATCGATATGTCCGCCCCTGATGCCTATGTCAATGTATCCATGCGAGGCCTTGTAAAAGAATATTAAGTCTTTCAACTCCCTGTCATAGCAAAGCGGTAGAAGATTTAATGTCACTAGCCGATCTTTGTGCTCCTACTGTCCCATTCGTTGCTGTAGTATGATAGTATCCATGTTGTCGCTCTTCTTTGGACGTTTTCAACTTTACGTTTGAGCGATATATGTGCCGGAAACCAGACTTCGGTCGCGTAGTTCAAGTGACACTTAGTTACACTTAACCAGCGAGAGATAGAGTGATCGTCTTACTCTGGTGTCTTTGATCAGAGGACAAGTCCTACGTAGAAGGCCAAGCATCTTGTTGGCTTTACTTACAACGGCCAGAATTCGCTGCATGGTCCCAAGTGAGGTTGCTTGTTATAACAACTCCGAGATATTTTTCTTTTGTGACAGGAGCCAATGTTTTATCCACAAGGCGATAGTCAAAATTAACTGGATTCAGTTTCCTCGTTACATTTCGATGCATTAAATGACATATATTGTTAATATAGCTCCAGGTGTTGAGACTATCTAGAGATTGTTGTAGAGTTTCGCAACATTGCATACTCGAAATACTTTCATTTTGGTACATAATGTATTGTACACATTTTTCTTCATATTTTCTCCAATGCATGGTAATTTTCGTCCTATTTTATAGCTGACAGACAGCCATAATTTCTTTATCCAACCCATGAGCTAGTCAAAAACTTGATTACCCAACCCATATCTCTTCGGTACCAACCCCGGGTATAAATAATGAGTTGCTTTGTTACGTTTTGTCACTCTGAGGCCAGCGAAATAACCTAGAAATTCACCTCATTTTGGGGGCACCCTGCACAGGGTGTCCCCAAAAAAGTCCTGGCCTATGGAAATCACTCTTTTGTTGTTAAACGTGCATTGTTATACCTCTGGGGATTTAAAATAGCTTTTAAAACGAACAGCTTCTCAAAAATGTCAAATTACAAATTCGGCTTACCGTCAGTTCGAGTAAGAATGGTTAAACTGACTACAGAGCAACGAGTATTTGTCGCAACAACTTATACGCTAACGCGAAGTGTAATACCGAAGTGTTACTTATTTGGAAGAAGGGAAGTTGTAAATACTTCCGCCATTCATGTACAAGGTGGACTTTTTGGGGGACACTTGTTTAACTTAAAATACTCATTAATAATTCATAAACCTTGTGGCAAACATGTCAGCCATAATATGTCACGTGAAGTGACTTTTATATATCTGATAAAACTCACGGCAGTCTTCATTAGTATTCTCTATATAATTGTTCACTTCATCCAAATTAGTTTTTGTAGTCGTATTTTAAGCTATTCAAAACACTCGTTGTCGTGTTTTATCAGACATAAAACGCTCGGCTGCGCCTCGCGTTTTATATCTGATAAAACACTCCTACTCGTGTTTTAAATAGACTAAATACAACTATAAATTTGCAAAAAAAGCGCACAGTTAAAAAATGATGCGCGCGCTGATCAGTAAATTTCTCTCAAGTGGAAACATTGCACTGACCTTCCTAGAAGGTCGAAGAACGTCCCTGAAGAAAAGGGCAACATGGTAAATTTGACTATATTTTGGCACGATTTCCGTCAGTTGGAGCAATGTGAATTATTTCTTGATCGAAATAAATACAAGATGTAAATCCTTGGGCCTTATTTATGCGGTTATGGCGTCTGGGTATGCCTCATTCACGGCATTATATAACTTTAAACCAGAGCAGTTGGATGAGATAGAGTTGAGAGTTGGCGATGTTGTGCTGGTTAAAAAACCATTTAATATTGAAGAATGGATAGAAGGGGAAAATCAAAGAACTAAACAACGTGGACAGATTCCTGGCAACTTTTTAAAAGAGCTAGTAGGTATGGTAGCCTGTAATTTGAATACCTATTAAGCATTTGAATAATGGTTTCATCCTTCCGTGTTTGCATAGATGAAAGTGCAGTTGTACTATCATTATCATGTTTATATCAGGGTTTCAGTATAAACTTAGTTTATGCAATATCAGTTGGTCATGGGCCGATATGTGGTGTTATAGTAAAGTGTTTAGTGTATGTAATATCACTAATATGTCAAGCTCAACTTCTAAATTAGAAGTTTATACGTAATATAATTTTATTTCATTTATGATTTATTGCCTGACATTAATCAGATTAATGTTGCAATTTGCCTTTGTTACAATAGTATATGTTATTTTTCTCACATAGTTTTTATACCATTTTTCAAATGAAATTTAGACATAGTTGGATAAACTACAAGCAATGTACAATCATGCATGACTGTGTTTGTATGCATTTACAGTACAAGAAGAGTTCAAAGCATGAGTCATGATTGTAAATGTATGGGCACAAGTTATTATACTTGAAAAAACATAATTTGATGTTAAATTTTCAATGTAAAATGTGTTATCTTACATTGTATGTCTCCTTTCCTGTTTATCACTTCCTTATTCAATCATTAATATACATGACCTCCCACAGCTTTCTCACAGCTGCTATACTGGTAATAATCTTAGATTAGTGAAGTGCATTTGGTGTAGATGCAGTTGTCCAAAATGCAGACGGATTTTTATATTTTTTATTGGGGTGGTGCCAGAAATTTTAGGGGGGTGAGCTGCGAGCAGGTGACTGAAGCAACACAAAATGTCACCAAACCCCAGTGGGAGTCTAGAGAGCAGAAAACAAATATGAAGTTGTCATATCAATGGATTTGGCCTGTCCGATTGTCTGTTGAGACTTGAGTTAAATGAACCTGTAAAAGTGTAAACCCAATAGGCCAATACAGTACAATATGCTTTTACTTTTATAAAATCATTGACATTGTGTCTTGTGAATCCGAGTACAATTTGGGACGTAAAGATTAAATTTAAAGCAAGACTATTTCCTAAAAGAATTAAAAACTAAAAATAATGTTCGTAAAATTTCCAAACGTTCCTTGCAAGCAAGCTATTTGCATGACAAGGCACTGC